ACATGCCCTCACCCCCACTGCTCCACGTGAACATTGCTGCTGTCCCTGACCCTTGACCTCGAGCTCAATCAAGGACTTCCTGTTGACCAGGGAGTATTGCAATGATTAGCACAATGGTCTTTGTAAAACATTCAGCTTGAATGTTACAATTTATGAGCCCCTGTTATCTCTTGGAGCCGCCCTAATTGCTTCTTGCTTCCACAGCATCTCAGACTGGATGAGCCACCAGGTTCTATCAGGTTCTGGGACACCCCCACACAGTTCAGGCCCTCTCAGTCACCCCAGGGCTCTTCCTGACCCTTTCCTCTACTCCTGGGTGCCCCTCCCTCTTTTTCAAAGTGTTCTTGTTTTTCTTTAATATTGCTTCACCCCCTCCCCACAAGACAGTTATACAAGTAGATGTGGGAGGGCGCAAAGAAACAGAAGTCAGTGATGACTAAGTCTGCCCAGATCCCTTCCTTGCTACAGAACTGTCAAAATTGGCTCTGGCTCACTCCAGCCTCTGTAGCAATCCTCTGTAAAGGGTGTGAATTTTCCTGACGATGGCTTGCTGCACATGACCAAATGCCGTCATGTCTCACCAGTGCCGATCTGTCCCCTCTCTGCCAGAATCTGTGTTTAGGACCCAGGACCCAGGGTCGTTCAGGAGCAATCCTACCCCCAAACAGGTGCACCCGGGATGTCCTGGAAGCTCCATCTCCCCTCAGAGCTCAGCTGTCATCGGGGTTCTGCTCTCTTTCCCTATTCCTTTGAGTTCAGGGATGGGCGAAGTATTTTTTTTTTTCCTGAAGTGCAATGACCTCAGAAGGAAAAAAGTTCAAATGAAATGCAGCCCCAAACATGTTAGCTTTGGGGCAGATCAACCCGTCGGGGCTGCGCTCAGGGCAAGAGCACAAAGCCTTGCAGTGAACCCTGCGGTGGGCAGCTTGAGCACTTGCCAGGTAGTTACCAAGCCTCAGAGTCCAGCAAACCTGGAAATCAGTGAGAAAGATCAGCTGAGAAGTGTCAAAGGTTCTCCCATGGGGGTAGGCTCCGTGGACAACTCACCTTCTACAAGACATAACAGAAATCTTCTGCCTGTGTGTCTAGGTATCTGCTCTCCCTCCTGAGGCTTGTTTGCTCAAAGCCAAGTGGGAAATTCACCAAAGAGCTCAATGTACAGCTGGCCATGTAAACTAAACAAAATCCCCAGGTTTATCACATATATATGCTGGTTATAAAAAGAAAATTTAAAAGAAAGAAAAAGAAAAGAAAGGAAAAGCCTGGCACTGTGCCTCACGCCTGTAATCCTAGCTACTCAGAAAGCTGAGAACTGAGGATTGCAGTTCAAAGTCAGCCAAGGCAGGAAAATCTGTGAGACTAATCTCCAATTAACCACCAAAAAGAGCTGGAAGTCAAGGTATGGCTCAAGTGGTATAGCGGCAGCCTTGAGAGGATAAAGCTAAAGGCTAGCTCCCAGGCCCTGAGTTCAAGCCTCAGTACAAAAAAACAAAACACAAGCAGGGTGCTATGGCTCATACCTCTAATCCTAACTACTCAGGAAGCTGAGATCTGAGGATTGCAGTTCAAAGCCAGCTCAGGCAGGAAAGCCCCATGAGACTCTTACCTCCAATTAACCATTCAAAAAGTAGAAGTACTCTGTGGCTCACAGAGTTCTAGCCTTGAGCACAAAGAAGTTCAAGGACAGCACCCAGGCCCCGAGTTCAAGCCCTACAACTGACAAGAAGAAGAACAAGAACAAGAACAAGAACAAAAAGAGGAGGAGGAGGAGGAGGAGGAGGAAGAGGAGGAGGAGGAGGGAAAAGAAAATCACACACACAAATAAAAAACTTTCACAAATACAAAACATTCCCTAATAAAGGTGATCCTAGAGTTGGAGGCATGGCTCAAGTGATAGAGCAAGTTCAAACCCTTAAAAGGATCTGGGCGCCAGTGGCTCATGTCTGTAAGCCTAGCTACTCAGGAGGCTGAGATCTGAGGATCACAGTTCAAAGCCAGCCCAGGCAGGAAAGCCCATGAAACGCTTATCTCCAATAAACCACCAGAAAACCAGAAGTGGTGCTGTGACTCAAGTGGTAGAGCACTAGCCTTGAGCTGAAGAGCTGAAGGACAGTGCCCAGGCCCAGAGTTCAAGCCCCACAACCAACAACAACAACAAAAAGATAAAAAAAATACATAAAACAAGTGGTGCTGTGGCTCAAGTGGTACAGTGCTCACCTTGAGCAGCAGAGTTCCAGAGACAGCACTTAGGACCAGAGTTCAAGCCCCACTACCGAACCAAAACAAAAACAAAAACTATAAAACAGTCCTGTTTCAGGCAGAGCCACTAGGAATCGCAAGTCAGGACACACCAAGGCTCAGCAGAGTTTTGAAAGTAGCTGCTTTGTGAGAAAAAAAAACAAAAACAAAAAAAAAACAAGAGTCTGGCAAACCTGAATATCTGCAGATGCAACGTCAGCATTTCAGTCTAGCCCAATTTGGCAACAGGTACTTAAAAGCTGCTTTTCCTGACACTCTACGTGGGCCCCTGAATTAACTACAAGCAGGAGGAAAGCTTGGCATCCCTGCCTTCATTGTGTGATGTGTGATTGTGTGTGTGTGTCTGCTCTAAGCCATTCTCTCTGCAGCTTTAAGACAAGGAGCCAAAACTACCTCCAAGGAACAACAGAGCCTCTTTGGGACAGATCTGGTGTCTCCCCTTCAGTGATAGAAGTGACAGCAACTCCCCCAGGACCCCCCTGGAAACAAGGACTGAAATAATGATCAACAAAGCCATGCTTTCAGCAAGACTGTTACATAATTATGCATAACACTCTCTGCCCAATTCTTTGTCCATAATACCTAAACTACTGTTTGTGCCCAAAGGGTGGCTGAAGATGGGCTGAAGTGCTGTCTTCTGTGGCATATTGGTCCCAGAGGAATAACATCTCCTTTCTCTGCCATTCCCCATGACTCTAGTTGGCATATTAAGAGAAAAGGGCTAGCCCTGATCTGTGGAAGCACAGGAGTTTGGACCTGGAGTCTAAAAACTTAGATTTCACACCAAGGACCAGTGGCTTATGCCTGTAATCCTAGCTACTTGGGAGGCTGAGATCTGAAGATCATGGTTGGAAGCCAGCCTTGGCAGACAAATCCAAGAGAGTCTTATCTTCAATGAAGCAGCAAAAAGCCAGAAGTGGAGTTGTAGCTCAAATGGTAGAGCACTATCTTTGAGCAAAAAAGCCAAGCAAGAGGGTGAGGCCCTGAGTTCAAGCCTAGTACCAAAAAATCAAAACAAAACAAAAAAACAACCAACTGTACATTCACTAAATAACAAAATATTTTTCTTCTGTTGGATCCTTTAAGGCTGCACATAAGATCCAGAAATCTGTCTTTTGCAAGTATCTGGACCAAACTGCTCAAGCCTAGCAGGAATTCTGTTCATTTTTAAGAAAACAAAGTCATTTAAGCTAAGCTAAGCATCTGTAACTGAACTCAGAAACAAGTCCACAAACAAGCCAAGAAAAAGTTCACATTTTCTGAACTCCAAAGGGCTTGTTATTCCCATCTCAATTTCATTTATTAGCATGTGTTGTAATTCAGTAACATTCTTTTTTTGCTATTTTTTTGGGGGGGTCGTGGAGCCTGAACTCTGGACCTGGGCGCTGTCCCTCAGCTCTTCAGCTCAAGGCTAATACTCTACCACTTTGAGCCACAGGGCCACATCCAGCTTTTTCTGCTTATGTGGTGCTGAGGAATCGAACCCAGGGCTTTATGCATGCAAGGCAAGCACTCTACCACTGAACCACCTTCCCAGCCCCAATAATTCAGTAACATTCTTAAACCAAGAAACAGCGAGGGCTGGGAAGGTGGCTTAGAGGTAGAGCACTTGCCTTGCATGCATGAGGCCCTGGGTTCAATTCCTTAGCACCACATAAGCAAAAAGAAAAAAGCCGGAAGTGGTGCTGTGGCTCAAGTGGTAGAGCGCTAGCCTTGAGCTGAAGAGCTGAGGGACAGCGCCCAGGCCCAGAGTTCAGGCCCCACAACCTACCAAAGAGAGAGCGAGAGAGAGAGAGAGAGAGAGGGAGAGAGAGAGAAAACATGCATGGAGCATGAGCACTATCCAACTTGGAGATTTTCAAATTTTAGTGGTCAGAATTCCCCAAGGTGCTGGTTAAAAGGCAGATTCAAACATCCCAACCTAGAGACCAGGTCTGTCTGTCTGTCGGTCTGAGAATTCATCATGGCTTCGCCAGGGATCTGCCTGGTTGTGTGGCTGGAGCTCCACAGCTCTGCAGTTTCAAGGTAGCTCAGCTGACCCCAGGGATTAAATCCCAGGGCGCGAGCCTCTGGGGGAGGCCATCTCTTTCCTGGGGCTCCCATCAAAGTGACATGATCAAGAACTCCTTGTCAGTCCCTGGAAAGTATCCACCTTGGCCGGGCAGCTCTGCTGCTGAGGTGGGGCAGCACCCCTGGCCTCGCCCTCCGCCCACCCTCGTGCGGGGCAGCCCCTCCACCCCATCCCCGCCGCTCCTTCCTTGCATCTGTCTCGCTGCCGGACCAGCCCTGTCTATAAAAGGGCCAAGCCAGTCCTTGGTGCTCGGGTCCACCTTCCTCAGACCCCTTCTGCAACCTCAGCGGAGAGGCCCGTGTTTCCTCCATCCTGCGTCTCCATGGCAACCGCCAGGGTATCAGAGACACAGGCCGGAGACTTCCCGACGCTGAGGAGATCCCTGAGAAAAGGGCTGGGGAGGGGGCGGTGTCTCCCCCCCCCCAGTCCCCCTAACCCACATCCCCAAATGCCCGCCCCTCCTCGGCGCTCAGCAGGGATGGAGGAGGGCGGCCTTTCCGGGGCTCCCCATTCCCAAGCCGAGAGTGGGGCGGGGGGGGGGGGGCGATGATAGCGGCAGGACGCGCCACGCGCTTAACACCTCCCTGGAATCGCCCCCCCCGCGTGGGGCGGGGCTGTGGAGGCGTGGTCTCTCGGAGTCCCGCCCCCGGGGCGGGGCCTGCGCCGGGGCGTGTCAGGAAGAGGAAGAGCGCGGCCGGCGGGCGGGCGCGCGGGAGGCAGGGCCGGGCCGAGCGAGCGCCGCGCGGCCACCATGGCCACGGACGAGCTGGCCAGCAAGCTGAGCCGGCGGCTGCAGATGGAGGGCGAGGCCGAGGGCGAGGCGGCCGAAGTGGCCGAGGCGGCGGAGGCGGCCGAAGTGGCCGAGGCGGCGGAGGCGGCCGAGGCGCGGGGCGGCGCGGACGGGGAGCTGAGCGCCAAGCTGCTGCGCCGCGCCGACCTCAACCAAGGCATCGGCGAGCCGCAGTCGCCCAGCCGCCGCGTCTTCAACCCCTACACCGAGTTCAAGGAGTTCTCCAGGAAGCAGATCAAGGACATGGAGAAGATGTTCAAGCAGTGAGTGGCCCGAGCCCCGCGCCCCGGGACCCCCGCGCCCCGGGACCCCCGCGCCCCGGGACCCCCGCGCCCCGGGACCCCCGCCAGGCTCTCCGCCGGGCCCCGCGCGCCCCTCGGCGCGCCGGCCTCCGGACCCTCCCCAGAGCGAGGCTGCCCCCGGGGCGACACGGCCCCCCACGCGGGCCGCCGCCACCCACGGGTGTGGGACCGGGTCTGTGCTCAGAAACCCCTGGGCCCTGTCAGGGGCGCTCGGCCCACCTCCCCGCGCCCTGCGCCCCGAGACGGGACCAGTGGCCTCCTCCCGCCACCCCCTGCTCCCCGTTCCCCACCCCCACCCACCCCAGCGCTCGCGGGCCAGACAGCCCCAAGAGCCTCCTATGGGGGAGCGCGTTGCTGCACCCATGCCGGGCACAGCCTTTTCATTGAGGTCCTCTTATTTCCTCTGCTGATCTCTGAGCCCCCACAACCTGGGTTCCCACTAGGAGAACACACACACACACACACACACACAGAGTTTATTTAGCACTTACTAGCAAACTGGTTGGGGGAACAACTCTCCCCCTTCTTCCCCCCCCCCCCCCACCACAGTTAGCCAGCTCCCAAATCTTTGGCCCTCCAGGGGTCTTTCTAGGGAGGAGCCCCTCAGGCCCTGTCCCCCACTCTGCAGACATGAAGTCTCCCCCATATTTCTCCCTCTCTGGACTTTAGTCCTCCCTGCCCCCTCCCACACTGCCCCCTCCTTTTCTTGCCCTCCCAGCTCCCTGCACTGAGCAGCAATGCAGTCCCTGATCCCCTGCTTTCTATGAGGAGTCTCTGTGTTCCCCACTACGGGCCTTCCCTTCCCTATAAAGGATCACTAGTGGCCCCCACACACTCCAGGCAGATAAGGGGCCCCTTCCTGTCTTAGGTGCTTCTGCCCCAGTTCTTTATAGCTCCCTGGGCAGTGTCCTCACCAGGTTAGACGGGCTCCACCTTGCCACACTCATCCCCACAAAGCAAAACTTGTTATCTCTGGGGAGGAACTGGAGAAGAAAGATTGCACTTTCTGTTCGGTCCATCCTTGACATAGGCAGCCCCTTCTCCCCTCAGCCACATGGGTGCCCAGGGCCAGTAAGGGGTGACAGTCTTCTCTTTGGTAACCCTCCTCCTGTTGCCTGTCCTTTCCCCTGGCTCTTGAAGAGAGGACAACCTACCAGGACTGGCTGGATGCATCCAGAAGAGGGTAGAACCATCTAGAGCCTATGTTTTGCATGGAGAAGCAGAGAGAGGTCCAGCCCACCCTAAACAGGCAGCGCAAAGGTGGCAGGGAGCAGACTGAGGGGTGTCAGCACCAACCACACTCTGACAGCCCAGACACCAAACAGGAAGCTCACGAAGGGGGTGTTTCACAAGTCCAAGCCCTGAGGAAGTTCTTCCCACATCTTCCTCTCCCAGTATCAGCAAAGCTTCTGCATTTGGCCCCAACACAGGGGAAGAGGGCTTTGGTTCTTAGTCTTAGTTGGCTGGATGGCCCAGGCTTTTTCCTTTGACACCCCCCCCCCCCCCCCCCCCCGCCTCCTCCACCTTCTAAACCTGGGTGTGGAGGAAGACCCAGAGCCAAAGAGCCCACATCCCACCCAAGGTCCTGGAGGGTGTTTTTGTAAAGTTTCCAACGAGCATCATCCCCACCACATTCCGAAATAGACACTAAATGCCCTTGAGGCCTGGGATGGCATATGGCTGTGACTTCCTTTAGAGTTGCCCAGGGGGAAGCCAGCAGCTATTCAGACAAGACAGATTCCTGCATCCTTAGACCCTGGCCAGCGGAGCTCCCCTTCCCTCTGGCTAGTAACTATTTCAATACCTTTATGCAGGTGAAGAGTAAGGTCTTACCAAGAATGCAGAGGTCTGTGTCCGTATCTGACATCACCAACATCCCACTTTTCCTTCTTCCCTGAGCTTTCTCCTGGGCTTTCATAGCATCCCTACCCCCCCCCCAAAAAAAGATGGAGCCGCTTTGGGGACACCCACACGCCCCAATTGAGCTAGCTTGGGAGGCTGCAGTTTGGTCTGTGAGGGCAGCAGTGGGGAAAAGCCGTTATAACCTGTGTTTGCAAAGCATACTTGCTTTTCATACAGGCTGTTTTGAGGTTCCGTTTGATGAGGGGTACTTTGCTGGAGACAGAGTTTGCTGAGCCCCACATGCTACCTCTTGGCACCAGCGCTGCTTCCTGGGGTGTTAGGAGGTCTTAGGGAGCAGGAAGTAGCCAGGAAACTGGACTTGTATGGAAGGAAGTGCCACCCGCTGGGGGGCCTGGCCAGGATGGAAAGCTGACCGATTTTGTATTCAAGGAAACAAGGCTTCACTGTGCGTACCGGACCCAGCCCAGCTGAGTCCTGACTGTGAACGGCCAACAACCAGCCCTTGTGGAGCACAAAACCCTTGTTTCACTGCTACTATGCCAGTGGGTTGCAGCCTCCTGGGCCCCAGCAGGGCCTAGGGATTGCAGCCAGGGCCTCGCTCTAAGTCTGGAGCAGGAAACACAGGCAAACATACAGGCAGACCTGGAGTTGGCTTCTCCTGTGATACTGAACTAGGAAGCTGGGCTTCCTTCCTTACCTTGCTTGCTGTCCCCAGGCCTCTGTCTCCCCATTTGCAAAAGGATCAGGCTGTGTTTGGTGATGCGCAAAGACCCCTCACCCTTTGGCTGTGACTTGCTTATTTCTGAGGAATCTTGAGCCCCAGTGGATATCAGAACTGCCTTCCAGAGAAGGCTTCTGATCCATCCACTCGATTTGCTATGGCAAATCCAGCAGTGCAGGTTCCTCCCTGGAGAGACTCCAGCCCATCTGCCCATTTTACAGAAAAGGAAATTGAGGACTTGCTCAGGACCATAGGGAGGCTTCATCATCCAAACCAGAGCCTCCTGGTCTGCAAAGTAGGGATAGTGGCTTCTGCTTCTCAGACATGTTGAGTTCTGATCCAGCATTGGGCACAAAGAGGCATTGCCTCCTTAGGCCTAAACTTAGTCTGCTGGTGTGGTCACAGGGCATCTGTTACCTCGAATCCCCCACTCTTCTCCTTCCTGCTTTCTGCCCATCCATCCAGGGCTGTTTTTAAAATCCTCCAGGGCTAGAGTCCCTTGGGGATGCCAGCCCCAGGACTGGCGAGACCTGCTGGAAAGGACAGGAAGCCATGGCACAGTGAGCCTGCTGTGGAATCAGAGGAAAGTGCCCTAGTTCTTGTCCTACTGAACCTCGGGGCCCTGCCCCAGCCTCCTTCCTACCTTGTCTCATAACCCCTTGTGTGAAACAGACAGTCTTTCCTTATCTTCCGGCCAGCGCTTTTCTTCTTAAGCTCCTGAGGCTTCTCTTCCCTCCTCTCCCCTCCCTGCTCCTCTCCCCCCCTCAGTGGTTAATTTGAAGTTGGCAGTACTGGGTTCAAATCCCAGGCATGTGCCCTGGGAATGTCACTTCAACCTCCCTTTTTTTTATTTTTTTTTTTGGTCGGTCATGGCCTTGAACTCTGCGCCTGAGCGCTGTCCCTCAGCTCTTCAGCTCAAGGCTAGTGCTCTACCACTTGAGCTACTGTGCCACTTCCAGTTTTCTGGTGGTTTATTGGAGATAAGAGTTTCCTGGACTTTCCTGCCTGGGCAGGCTTTGAACCGAGATCCTCAGATCTCAGCCTCCTTAGTAGCTAGGATTATAGGTGTGGGCCACCGGTGCCCAGCAACCTTCCTTTTTTTGTGTGCCAATACTGGGGATTGAACTCAGGGCCTGGGCACTGTCTCTCAGCTCTTCCTGAAGGGTAGCACCCTATCACTTGAGCCACACCTTCACTTCTGGCTTCCTGATAGTTAATGGGAGATTAGAATTTCTTGGACTTTCCTGCCCAGGCTGGCTTTAGACCTCCCATCTTCGAGTTCAGCCTCCTCACCCTGGAGCAAGATGATGAGCTCTTGCTAAGTTACTGTCTCCATCATCACATTTGCAAATGCCATGTAGTATTGGTGGTCCTAGGGGCTGACCCTGCAGTAGCACATACCAGCCTACATCTACCCAGGAAGGAGCTGCCAGGCTGGCAACAACCCTTTGTTTTGGGGCTGGAATGACGGACCCAGCCTGCCTCCAGCAGGCACTGATTGACAGCTACATATGGCTCTGATAAATAACAAAAATAGAGAAACATTCATTATCACTTAATTACACTGAAGGCAGGTGGCAAGAAAACAAGGACAAGCAAACAAAAGCTTGGAGTGACATAAAACTGCAACTCCAGCACCTTTCAGCTCCCACCCAACTGAGTCTTTCTGGACAAGATACTGTCCAGGTACTTCCGAGCCTCAGTTTCCCCTGGAGTTATAGGACCTGTAAAGTACAGAGGATTCGTTGTGCAAAGCATTGAGGACTAGAGCCTATCAGTGTTGGCCTGTAGTCTTGAAAAGCATGTCTGTTCATGTGTGCATTTATACACATTTATACATACAGATCTGAGCAAGTTCAGAGATTTGAAAACAGTGCTCCTGAGCCAGGCACCGATGGCGCACACCTGAAATTCTAACTACTCACAGGGCTCAGATCTGAGAACTGTGGTTCAAAACCAGCCCAGGCATAAAAATCCTGAGATGCTTATCTCCAGTTAAGTAGCAAAAAGCAGGAAGAGGAGCTGTAGCTCAAGTGGTAGAGTGTCAGCCTTGAGTGATAAGGCTGAGGGAGAGCATGAGGCCCTGAGTTCATGCCCCAGTATCACACACGCTCCCACGCTCCACCCCCCCCCCCCCACCTCTCTGTTTCTCCTGCCTTCCAGAGGCTAAATCTCTGAGACCCATGGTGTGGTAGGGTCTCTGATGAGCCCACATGAAGGGGAAATGTGCTCCCCACAGCCACCCCCACCCTTGCCTTCACTCTGCTCTTCTTAAATAGAACCTCAAGGTCCAGCTACTCCCAGAGGGACATGCCGAATAACTCAGGGTTCAAGTTCAATGCTCACAGCAGCACAGATGGTGAAACTGAGGCTGGAA